AATGAGATTGTGTAGCCATTGAATTTTTTTTTTTTTTTTTGCTATTGTTGATGTGTTTGTGTGATGAGTTGATCACCTTGGGCATTTTATTTTTGCCCTTGGGCATTCTATTAGTGCCTTTTTCTTTCCTTAAATCATCTGAAAAGGTGTTTGGATTTAGTGAGCATATTAAACTTCGGTGGATGTTCATTTGAGTCCATGCACCGATGTCTTTTAATGCAATAATCTATTTGCATCTCATGTTCCTTACTATGCTATGTGTGTGTTAGTGGTGTATGATGTTCATTTTCCAACACTATTTATTGCACCAATCCTTTCCCAAAAAAGGGAAAAAGAAAAAAAAAAAGAAAAAAAGAGAGGACATCTTCTATCTTAATACTCTGTAGTTTTAAAAATAATTTGCAGCCAGTCATTCTTCTATCCTTTCTCATTGACATGATATTCAACTGGTTTGGTAAACACTTTATATGCAGGCTGCCATTGTAAATTCACAAACTCTTGAAGAGGTTGCAAGGCTTGAGTAGGTGTGAAAGATTTTTGTTTTTATCTCTTATTTTAAGCCTTGTGCTATCTACAGTTTAGACAAGTTACTAATTATTTAAAACTTTTGTAGGCTTTAAAGTCTGGCCAGCTTCCCACATATCTCATCATTGGTGATGATGATACTAGCTCCAAGAAGGATGATGCTAAAGAAGATAAAATGGTTCCAGATGGTGAGAATCAAGCTATAATAGTGAGCAGAGAGATAGTCTCACTGAACAAAACGATGGTCCTACATAAATGGAGCAGGTACATGCAGTTTATTACATAAATATGGTGACTCTGATTATCTCATCATTTGGTGAAGTTTCTTATGCATTAATTGGTTGTTGGCATGTTAATATATTACTCTGTATTTTGAATTAGTTGCCTTTTGTGCTATGTCTTTAGCATTAAAATAATAATATTTCAAGAATAGTCAATAGAGAAGCTCATTTTCTTCGAACAAGAAGTATATTCGCTTTATTGTCTTTTCTTTTGTTGTCATCATCCGTGTGCCTGGGTAATGACAACATAAATATATATATACTTACCTACATGTGTATATATCTGGCCAGAATCTGAATATTCTTCCAATCCCCCAGCAAGCTCTTCTCATGCTCCTTTACCTAGGGTCAAGACTTGAAGAAGAAGATCAAATAATATAGTCTTTACTTGATGATTTCCACCCCCAAGCAATAGTTTTGAAGATTAACAGCATGCTTGGCCTTTAAAAAAAAAACAGCATGCTTGGAGTTGGCGTTTCGCACAAAGCGCGTGCCCGCGACTAGTCAGATAATATTACATCAACATTCAACATTGCAGCCATCAGACCGTGCTAATTCTACAAAGATACAAGATTTGATTGAAATTTTGAAGACTTCTATGCTTATGCATTAAAGATTAGATGCTCTTGAGAGTGAAAGAGCTGACACTTCATCATCACCCTCATCGTAACGGGATTAAACTTGATATTTATATTTTTAATGGATTATTATATTCTTGTTTAGGCACGAATTTGGTATTAAGTACAACATCCTCAATTGGTTGAACTATGAAGTATTACTATTATATTACAAATTATATTTTATTTTAGTTTTAATAGTGTTTTTGTTTACAAATGTGATTGCATACTAATGTTTTAAATACTAATATTAGAATTTTAAAAAAAATATTAAAAAATAATTATTTAGTAGAATTATGACGAAATGTAATTTATTATTATTATGGCGACAAAATTGGTGACATAAATATTATGTCGCCTAAAACGCGATGGGATCACAACAATAACTAGTTTTGTTATTATTTTACGACGAAATTTTGTGACGGATGACAAATTTTACGATGGAATCTTGTGATGGAAGATGAAATTCGCAACGGAAATGGAAAGGTTAACTACGGGATCGCGACGACAATTTGTTCCGTTTTTTTTTTTTTACGACGGAATTTTGTGACGGAATACAAAATTTGCAACCACAAGATTAGCGACAGAATCACGACTATAATTATTTCCGTCGTTATATTTCATGACAGAAATTTGCAACGGAATATGAGTTGCGTGACGGAATATTTTTTCACTCGTTGGCGACAGAAAGAAGCATTTCCGTTGGCAAAACCGTAACGAACTCGCGACAGAATGATTTCCGTCGCCGACGTTGCGACGGAAAATTCCGTCACCATTTTCCGTCGCCACTGCTCGCGACGGATTATTTTCGTCGCAAAATGAAATACGACAAACCTTGACACTACGGAATGAATTCCGTCACGAAAATGTAAAATTCCGTCGCAAAATGTGATTTGCGACGGAATTTTGCGTTTTCGCGACGGAATTTTTCCGTCGCGAATCGTGATTTTTCTTGTAGTGATTCATAGCATTCTGCGGAAGCTCGTACCACAACTTGGAGTGAAATCTCGTGAAAGAATCGAAGGTCCGGAACAGTATAAAAGGGGGCAAAATCGAAGAGAGGGGATCATCATTTTTTCACCGAAATATATAACCAATCTTACATCAAACTCTATATCAAAAAATCCGTTCGGAGATTTCCGGTCGGCTATAATTTCTGCTCACGGAACTTAGTCTTCTGCGACCCTTTCGGTTTCTTGTTCGGCAGCGACAGCGAGTGTCCAGTCGGCGGTCCTGTGCATCGTAAATTGGTTTCGGCAGCATCAATTAATTTTAGCATTTTGCAATATCCAGGTTCCAGAATTCATTGGCTCCTGTTATTTTATTTTTATGAGATTAAGATTTGCAATTTGGAGTTGTCTACCTAGGGAATAGTGAGGTTGTTTCATCTTGGCAGCTTCTGGATTTATTGTTTGAATCGAAACTGGTTCACAACACCAAATTTACAATAGCAACTTGAACTGGAAAATATTGAGAATAAATTCTAGTGTAAGATTTAAAATAAATCATACACAAAGCAAAGAAAATTGAAGAAGAATTTTTTCTGTATTGGCAAAAGGATAATACAATAGGAATTACAAATATAACTTTCTATTTTTCTCTACAGAATTTTTGTTATACTCTCTATATATTCTCAATGAGATGAGAAAGGATGGGATGGGATAATCTGATGAAGGATGTTGCCTTATTTATACTCATTCATGAGTCTAGAATTTTCCAAGCTAGAACCCATGTGCCTATAATGCTATTTCTTTCCCTGCAAGTTTTCTCCAAAACTTAAGCACAGAACTAGCCCCTTAGGAAACCTCCTCCCAAGTCCCTTAGGCAAATCTCCACTCAAGCCCCTTAGGAAAACTTCCACCCAAGTCCCTTAGGCAAACTTCCACCCAAGTCCCTTAGGCAAACTTCCACCCAAGTCCCTTAGGCAAACCTCCACCCAAATTCCTTTTAGGAAATCTGCTCCCAAAATCTTTCCAGGCAAAATCTCTGCACATTCCACATTATGAATTTAATATTTACAAATCTCCCACTTAAATTCATAATGTGGGTCTTCATCCTTTTTGCCAATCCCCTGCTGCTTGCATTCCTGTTAGGCCAATTGAGGATCTACACCATACGAATTTATCGTTGGTAACAGGCTTTGTTAATATATCTGCTAGGTTATCTTTAGTATGGATTTTCTGTATATCCACACTTCCTTCTTCCACCTTCTCACGAACAAAGTGATACTGAACTCGTATGTGTTTCGTCTTGGAATGAAATGTTGGATTCTTTGTCAGGTACAAAGCGCTCTGACTGTCACAAAATAGAGTCATTTTCTCTAATTTGTGCCCGAGCTCCTCCAATAACATTTGCAACCATATTGCCTCTTTACTAGCTTGAGTAGCCGCAATATATTCTGCTTCCGTCGTTGAAGTTGCAACAACCGACTGCAACTTCGAGACCCAGCTTACTGCTCCGCCAGCAAGAGTAAACACATAACCCATGGTGGATTTACTACAATCAAGATTACCTGCATAATCTGAATCAACATAGCCTTTAATGACGAAGTCTGATCCTCCATAACACAATGCAATCTCTGAGGTACCCTTAATATATCTAAGGATCCTCTTCATAGCACTCCAATGCTCTCTACCAGGATTCGCCATGTATCGACTGACCGCTCCCACTGCCTATGCAATGTCTAGTCTAGTGCAGATCATAGCAAACATTAAACTCCCCACTGCTGATGCATACGGTACTCGACACATCTCCATCCTCTCTGCTTCGTTGCTAGGACTCGTACTTGAGGATAACTTGAAATTAATAGAAAGAGGGGTAGAAATTGGCTTACAATCTTGCATGTTGAAGCGCCGCAAGATTTTCTTCAGATAATTTTGCTGAGAAAGCCAAATCTTCCTATTATTTCTATCTCGGTGAATTTGCATCCCTAGAATTTTGTTTGCTGGTCCCAAGTCCTTCATTTCAAATTCCCTAGCAAGTTGAGCCTTCATCTCCGTGATACGGTCATTATTGGGGCCTACTACCAACATGTCGTCAACATACAACAGCAAGATGATAAACTGATTATCATCAAATCTCTTGCAATATGCGCAAGGATCAGAATTAAACCTGTTGTATCCAAGGCTCAGAATGAATGAATCAAATCTCTTATACCAACATCTCGGCGCCTGTTTGAGACCGTATAGAGATTTGGTCAACCTGCAAACCAAGTTCCCTTTTCTTTCTTCAAAACCTCCCGGTTGGAGCATACAAATTTCTTCTTCAAGTTCTCCATGTAGTGATGCAGTTTTCACATCCAACTGCTCAAGATACAAGTCATACACAGCACACTCAGGGGAAACTGGAATTTCTTCTTCCTTCCTTCCCTCAACTTGTACTGTAGTTGTCACTGGTTTCTCCTTCCCAGTGTTTTCCATTTCTTGTACCTTGTCTTCTACAATTAGAACATCCCTGCTGATGATAACCTTGTGGGTAGTGGGATCCCACAGGCGATACCCCTTCACACCATCAGCATACCCCAAGAAAACACATCTTCTTGATTTTGGATCAAGTTTTGATGTTTCTTGGGCGTTGTATATCACATATGTCGGACTCCCAAATGTATGTAAGTGAGAATATCTAGATGGCTTACCCGTCCACATTTCCATTGGCGTTTTCAGATCAATTGCGGTTGATGGTGACCGATTGATCACATAACAGGCGGTCTTGACTACTTCAGCCCAAAATGAATTTGCCAAATTTGCAGTCCTCAACATTGCTCTTGTTCTTTCCAACAAGGTTCTGTTCATCCGCTCTGCCACTCCATTTTGTTGTGGAGTATACGCCACTGTGAACTGTCGTTTGATACCTTCTTGCAAACAGAATTTACCAAATTCATCACTAGTATATTCTCCTCCATTGTCCGACCTCAAACACTAGATCCGTTTCTCGGATTCAAGTTCCACACGCGCTTTGAAGAATTTGAAAACTTCAAATACATCCGCCTTCTGTTTGATTGGATACACCTAACATCTCCTCGAGTAGTCGTCGATGAAAGATACAAAATATTTTGCACCTCCCGGGGATATAACTGGTGCTTGCCAAACATCAGAGTGGATCAACTCCAAGATAGCCTTGCTCCTTGCTTTAGAGCTCTCGAACTTCAATCTATACTGCTTACTTGTAACACAATGCTCACAAAAGGGTAATGATACCTTTGTTAGCCCCGGAAGAAGATGTTGATCAGCAAGAATCTTTAGACCTCGTTCCGACATGTGGCCAAGTTTTTGATGCCACAACATCGTTGATTCCTCTATAAGATTATCTGCTGCAAATGCTGCTTCTCCTTATAGTTGTGTTTCTCCTTTAAGCATGTATAGATTTGCAGCTATCTTCTCAGCTTTCATCACAACAAGCGCGCCCTTGATTACTTTGATGATCCCATCCTGAATGTGAATTTTACATTCACGGCTATCTAATTGTCCTAGAGGCAATAGATTTTTCTTCAGGCCCTTCACGTGTCGTACCTCTTGGATAGTGCGAACCGTACCATCAAACATTTTTAGTTTAATAGTACCTAAGCCAGCAATCTCTAAGGCATGGTCATCTCCCATGAACACAGATCCTCCAGATACAGGTTCATATTCATGAAACCATTCTTTCTGTGAGGTCATATGCCATGTTGCTCCTGAGTCCATTAGCTAGACATCAGCTAGACTTTTCCTGCCTTCAACAATCGTTGCTGCTTCACCAAATAAAACTTCGCATTCATCCGATGTACTCACAACACACCCCTGAGCATTTGCTGTCTCGGGATTTTTGCCTTTGGTCTCATCCTTCTTAAGCTGCCAACAGTCACTCTCGTAGTGCCCCTTTTTGCCACAGTGAAAACACTTGACATTCTTCTTATCCCTTGACTTTGATCTACCTCGATTGTGACTCCCACTAGAGCTAGGCACTGTTGATCTTCCTCTCGTCACTGTCAACGCCTGGAATTGTTGTGAAATTCCAACTTTGTCTTCTTTGTTTTTGCGCCGACTTTCCTCTTCAAGAACCGCAGCTGCAATATCATCAAAGACAAGTACCTCCTTTTTGTTGACCAAATTGATGATGAGTTGATCGTATGAATCCGGTAGACTTTGGAGTAAGATTTCAGCACGTTCATTCACTTCTATTTTATAACTCAACGCCGAGAGTTGTGAAAATAGAGTGTTGAGAGTGTTGATGTGCTCAGTTACTGAGGATGTCTCCATCATCCTGAGAGTGTATAATTTCCTCTTCAAGAAGATCTTGTTGTGCAGTGATTTGGCCTCATACAAATTTACGAGAGTATCCCATACCTCTTTTGCCGTACCTTTTTCCGCCACACTTGACAAAACTTCATCAGCAAATGCTAAGTGCAGATTGGCAATAGCGTTGCTATCCATTTCTGTCCACTTCGCATCGTCAGTGAAATCGGCCGGTCTTTCTTCAATTGCTGCTACGCAGTTATCTTTCCTGAGAACTGCTTTCATTCTCATTTTCCACAAAGAGAAATTGTTCCCTTTGAACTTTTCAATCTCGTACTTTACCGCCATTGTAAGTGGTGTTCTTGATTCAAATCCTTAACAATATATCTAAATAGTATCGTATAATAGAATAATACCGGCCTTGAGAATTTACCAGTATTTATTCTAACATAAACAATACAAAAAGATATATCTATGAACCAACCTGAGGCTCTGATACCACTTGTTAGGATCGAAACTGGTTCACAACACCAAATTTACAATAGCAACTTGAACTGGAAAATATTGAGAATAAATTCTAGTGTAAGATTTAAAATAAATCATACACAAAGCAAAGAAAATTGAAGAAGAATTTTTTCTGTATTGGCAAAAGGATAATACAATAGGAATTACAAATATAACTCTCTATTTTTCTCTACAGAATTTTTGCTATACTCTCTGTATATTTCGAATGAGATGAGAAAGGATGGGATAATCTGATGAAGGATATTGCCTTATTTATAGTCATTCATGAGTCTAGAATTTTCCAAGCTAGAACCCATGTGCCTATAATGCTATTTCTTTTCCTGCAAGTTTTCTCCAAAACTTAAGCTCAGAACTAGCCCCTTAGGAAACCTCCTCCCAAGTCCCTTAGGCAAATCTCCACCCAAGTCCCTTAGGCAAACCTCCACCCAAGTCCCTTAGGCAAACTTCCACCCAAGTCCCTTAGGCAAACCTCCACCCAAATTCCTTTTAGGAAATTTCCTCCCAAAATCTTTCCAGGCAAAATCTCTGCACATTCCACATTATGAATTTAATATTTACATTTATTTCCCCTTTCCTTAATTGCCTTGCTTCCTGATTTTCAATTGGTGTTTGTTAATTACAAAGAAGATTGGACTTTCTTTAATGACAATTATGTTGAATTAAGCTTGTTGCTAAGTACTTTTTATTTATGTTGCTTATTACAGAGCTTAAAGATTAAGTATGTTGTTAATTGCAATGATCAATTATAACGCCTAGCTGGTAGCTTTGATTGTGTTTTTGCCAAGTCCAAAAAGGGTTAAAAGGGACTTGTGGTTGATTCAAGTTGCATGCGATTTCTTTTTGTTCCTCAGTTTTCGATTATTTATTTTCTTTTAAGTTCTTGAGTACTTTTGATTCAGACTTCGTGTTAAACTCAAGTTTATTCTTTCCATTTAATTTCAAGCTTAAGTATGCTTGTTAATTGTGATTAGCAATGAATAATGCTCTTTGTCAATAATGCTTAAGAAACATTGTTTCACTTCTTCAGATCCTAAAAGCTAAGACCGGTCATTGCTGTTTCTAATTATTAGTTAAACCCAATTGCATTTTTCAATTATGTTTTGCTAATTTATGTGTCTGGAATGAGTTCTAATTTAATTGCTTTATCTTGATTTATTATTTAATTGTTTAGTTTTTCCTTCTCTTTAATTCATAGTCTCTCTTCGCATTATTTTGCCAAATTCCGAATTGTGAGTACTGCTTTTAATACTGCATTTTTCAATTCTTAGCTTTTGAAGCATTGATTTTAATTGTTTTGCACTTGAATTGATTCGTACGATTGATTTTCGTTTCTAGCACGTTAAATTATCAAGTTAATTAACTTTAAGATTATAAATTGCATACTATCAATTCCTCTTGGGTTCGACCCTTGCTATTGCACCATATTACTACAGTGATTCGTGCACTTGCGGGGACATTATATTAAAATTATCCACCAATTTTTGACGCCGTTGCCGGGGGAATTTCGCACACTGGACTCTTCTCAGGAATTACTTTTGTCGCTGCAAATCAACTCCCGTCTGCCAATGGAAGTTCCGGTCAGAAACATAGCCACCGCAGGCGCCGAACCGAAAACAGTCCGGGGTGATTTTCTTGATTCTTCTCCATTATCGCCCTCATTATATACTATTCAGCCTCACTGCTTCTCCACACTCGTCGGAGAAATAGCCGCAGAAATTAGGGACAACCACAGAGTTGATTCTACTGGATCGCAGCTTCGTCAATGGCCGAAGAAGATGCTGAGTTTGCGATCTCCTTTTTCGTTCGGTTAGTTCCTGTGATTTACTGATAATAATAATAATAATAATAATAATAATAATAATAATAATAATAATAATAATAATAATAATAATAATAATAATTAATAATGATGATGATGATGATGATGATGATGATGATGGTGGTGGTGGTGGTGGTGGTGGTGGTGGTGGTGGTGGTGGTGGTGGTGGTGATGATGATGATGATGATGATGATGATAGATAATAAACTTATTAAATTGGGTTAGGAAATTATTGGACTAACAAATTTATTAACAAAATCAACTTAATAACAAAAACAACTCTAAAAATTAACAATATTTATGAAAACTACTTATAGCAATAATAAATAAAATTAAATATAAAATTAATTATCTTTTACAAATTAATTATAAAAAGATTATTAAAAACTACAATAAAAATAATGTTTATCAAGGCCCTTTACGGTCAAAAGTGTCGCAGCCCGTTGTGTTGGGAGAATATGGTCAATCCAGTGGTGTTAGGTCCACAATACTTGCATGACACCGTGGAGAAAGTTAAACTCATATAAGGAAAGATGAAAGTGGCACAGGATCGTCAGAAATCATATGCCGATTTGGGAAAGAAACAGGTGGAGTTTGTGGTTGGTGACAAGGTTTGGTTAAAGGTCTCTCCCACCCGGGGAGTTATGTGATTCGGTAAGAAGGGCAAGCTAAGCCCTAGGTTCATTGGACCTTATGAGATTCTTGAAAGAATAGGGAGTCTGGCTTATCGACTAGCGTTACCTATGGAGTTGCAGCGAGTGCACAATGTTTTCCACCTGTCACAGCTTAAGAAGTATGTACATGACCCGGCGCATGTACTACCACCGGAGGTGATCCCTCTAGATAATGACATGTCTTACGAAGAAAGACCGCTTCGGATTTTGGATTACAAAACCCGGGAAACCCGCAGGAAATCGGTGAAGATGGTAAAAGTCTGGTGGTCACATCACGGTGTAGAGGAAGCTATGTGGGAGTTGGAGTCGGCTATGGTGGTCACCTCAGGTATCTCGTTTCCCTTTCCTCGTTTGGTGTGTAGCTCGTTGGTTGTTTGTTGTTGCCTTGTGTGATCTTTCTTGTTGCTAGTTTTGTTGAGTAGTTAGCTTTGTGGGTTGTACTAGGAGCTAGTTGTTTAGATCTTTGGTGTTGATTAGAAAGTTGGCTGTTTGTGTTTGGTTTTAGTGTTCGTTATGCTAAAAGAACTTCGTTGGCTATTTCTTTCAACCTTGTAATGTTATGACTTCTTGATCATTTTGTGTCCCTTTGAAATCTTGAAATTATGAGTCAAAAAGGATGTTCTTGATTCTCTTGTCACATTGTTGTTTCATGTTGCCGTTTTTTGAATTTGTTTTACCCAAGCTTCGGGGACGAAGCTTCTTTTAGAGAGATGCTAGAGTGTTTGAGACTTAGTCTTTGAGTGAGGAATGAATGAAATGTCTTGCTAGGGATAGCTTGAACAACAATTCATGGGTGAAATGTCACTTTTACCCTTATTAAGGTTGGAAAGACAAAGGGACAAAGGCACAAACCATAAAGCACAAGGTACACTTGATTGACTTAAGTGACGAGTCAAATTCTAGTCCCTCGACTATTAAATTTCAGGATTTAGAAATGGTTTACCAAAGAAAGCTTGGATTAATTCTTCAATTAATCCCCAATTAGTATTTAGATTTACGGGGTGTCACATCCTCTCCCCCTAACAAGAATCTTCGTCCCCGAAGCTTGGGCACGACGGGTTTAACAAAAGATAGCAACAGATTAAAGATGTGATAAGAGATAGCAAGGTATTAAGGAACAAGGTTTCAAAGATCAAGAAATGCAAGGTTTCAAAGGTCAAGAAATGCAATGTAACACCCCGTGTTACGGCCTTCAATCCCGGATTAATTATTTAATTAATCCCGTTAATAATAATATGATTTAATTCGGTTAGGTTTCCCTTAATTAATTAATAAGGTCCACCATGAACTGTGGACCCTTGCCTAAATTAGCGTCTTAAGCCTATTAGGAATAAAGAAAGTAAACCCTTTACTATTCAGATTCTAATTAGGAATCCTGGACCTAGTTATCTATTAGGAATAAAGGAAGTATGCCTTTTACTATTCAGACTACGATTAGGATTCCCTTTAATTAATTAATATGGTCCACTATGGACCATGGACCCTTATCCCTAAACCCAATCCTTAGTCCCAAAAGGAATAGAATTAGCAAGCCCATAATATTAGTTCCTAGCTAGGACTCCTAAATATATAAATAGGGGACTTAAGAGGCACCTAGAACCCCCCACCACAATAACGTTTCACCCTCCCAAAGAGCTCCAAGAATTCCCTTAGAAGAAATCAAGAAAGCAAGAAAGCTTAAAGAAAGACCCTTCATAGCCAAGGAATTAATTAAGGCTAAGAGGTAACCCATGTCTCAACAAAACCTATTTTCATAGTTATGAATTCCCCCGTAGGTTTTACCCATATTATTGTGTATTGATGATTTGTGATGTTATTATTGATGATTGATGGGATAATTCCATGGGTGATCTTGACATCGGGAGATTCTTGATAACTATGGTGTTCTTAACGATTATGTGGAGTTCTTGATGATTATATGGTGTTCTTGATAATTGTATGGCGTTCTTGATGCTTAAGTGTTATTTATCTTGTAATTAGAAGACGAACCGTATTCTTGTGGATATAAAAGTAATTAGAACCCTAGGTTGATGTTCTTGATGCTTATGTGATATTCTTACCGAATCTTGTAATTAGAAGACGAGTCGTATTCTTGTTGGATTAAAAATAATTAGAACCCTAGGTTATATCGTGGAATTCGTATGGTATTATTCTGGGTGTATTGGGTGGGATTTCGCATGATTGGGTGTTTATTAGGTCTAGAAAAGCGTGATAGGTTATGTACCGTTTGATTCTTGATTTTGATCCGTTAAATCGTCTACGTGTGTTATCAATTGCGTTTGAAAGTGTCTAAGCATGGTCTCGGGTTCCACGAAGGTTCCCGGGGTGTTTTTGGAGTTAATGAGTCAGTGGGGGGTAGGTGGGGGTAGGGGACCCGCCACCTACCCGCGGTAAAAAAGGGGCAGTTCCGGCAGCGGGCAGCCGGCGGGCGGGCAGCTGCCCGCCGGCGACCTGCTGCCCGGAACAGTGTTTACCGGCGGGCAGCCGGCGGGTGGCCCCCCACCCACCGGCTACCCGCTGGAAATTCCAACACTTGGGACCCCGACTTCCCCGTTTGATGTTTCCCCGACCCCCGTGGTGTCCCAACGGACTCCGTCTATCGTGCCAATGTCTAGTTTGATGTTTCGGGTACCGTTCGTAGGTTGTATGAGTCTTATATGTTGCATGCTAGTTGAATTGGTATCCCGCTGACCTAGGTGAAAGGAGTATGAACCCCTTAGGACCATTCTTAGTATGTGAAGGATCACGCATAGGTTTTGTTATACGTTTTCTCCCCCTTCCCAATGTGTTAATGTGGGTTGCATGTGCTTGCTGTGTGTTATGTGTGCATGTTACCCCGACTTGGTTGAGATCAATCGGGCTATACAGGCAGTCGGGTGGGCTGAGAACCATACCGGCTGTTAACCAGGCTGGTAGAGACCGGTCAGGTATATAAATATTATATAGGACTAAGATCCACTATACGGGCAGTTGAATGGGTTGAGAACCATCCCAACTGTTAACCAGGCTAGTAGAGACCGGTCAGGTATATAAATATTTTATATAGGACAAAGGTCCACTATACGGGCAGTTGAATGGGTTGAGAACCATCCCAACTGTTAACCAGGCTGGTAAAGACCGGTCAGGTATATAAATATTATATAGAGCTGCGGCTCATCGGTCGGTTGCGATCGACCCCTCTGTGCTGTGAGACGGGGCAGGGTGCTGCGGGGCCGTGTCGGAGCTATATGCGCTGACCCTCATGTATGGGCATGCGATTGGTCCTGTGGCGCCAACAAAGTGTGCTATGTGATGAAGTACGGATGAGTTGTTGTTATGAGTATCTTGGGGATGAGACTATGAGATTTGTACCGGGGATCGTATATGTTGGGTTATGATTATTAATTTTGCTTATCTTATCTGTCTTGCCTGTTGTAAACTGTATATGCTTGGTATAACTGCTGTCTGTGCTTAGCCCTATCTGTTGAGTCTATCCCTGTTTCAAAAGCTAGAGTTCGTAGGAGATATCTTCATGTTCAAAATGACTTTTCGTATATCTATATATATATATCTATATGTATTGTATCTCAACGCGTTGGAGTGGATTACCAGCATCTCTCGCTGAACAGATATATTTGGCTTTCAGGCACAGAAGAATAAGTCACTGGAGCGCGCTAGAACTTGGAGCGTAGAAGTAGATAGTTTCCCTTTCGGCCTGCGTGCCATGCTTATGCATTTACGTTATTGAGGATATTAGTTAGTTAGCCTGTGCACCTGATTTCTCTAGCTCAGGTGTGGCATAGCACCCCGTACTCTTGTATTATGCTTTGGGATTTAATGAGATTTCACCTTTATCCTACAAGTTTTAAATGTCTCGAAAATCTGGGGTGTTACAGTTGGTATCAGAGCATAAGTTTGACCCTAGGATAAGACTCTTAAGACCGGACTTTAGGACAATAGGCTTGAACTCAAGGTACTTAGGAACATAGGATTCGGGAATCTTAGGACGCGCGGTGAGATTGTGAAACCTACACGTAACCTCCCCTCACCTTATCCCTCTCTAAACTTAAAATAACTTCCCCCTACGCTTACCACACAAAGGTAAGGGTGCAGCACACTAACTCATCGATACAATAAATATTGACCCTGAAAACCAGCAGCATGGCGCCAACAAGAAGACAGTCAAGGATCCCACACTCCTCGAAGAATGAACCCGAACCTTCAACAAAGTCCTCGGGATTAGTGGAATACCCAGAGAAACGCCACGTAGGGATAACCTCATTTCACCTCAAGACACGAGGCTGATCTTTGATAAATCCACGAAGAACCCACTTATGGGCAACAACCAGGGGTTCAACTAGGAGTGCCTAAGGGCACAGCTACGGGGACGATTCCACCCCGCACCTGTAAGGGCAATCATGTACGAGGAAAATCCTCCACCTAAAACAAGGGATGACCACCATCAGGGAATACCACAAACAATCCCTCTAACTGGCTCGTTTCGCGCCTGAATTAGATCCTACAGAGACAACCAAGATAAAGAAGTCTGTGACAGACCACAACTACGAAACCCAGAAGGCCCTAATTGTAAGCAAACCCCGCACACCCAACGAAGCCTACACCAGTAAAGCCAACTTCTACCAAACAGGGAATTTAGGGACAAACCCGAAAGAAGGAGTAACGGAAGGGGGAGACCGCTCCCTCCAGCATGAGCGAACCCTTCCGGAACTGGTTAAGAATGGGCGCAACTATCCCAGCCCGGAGACCGGGAACGCCAATTAAATGCAAGAAAGAAAAGTAGTACATAAACAACGTCTTTTCTCAATCGTTAGCACGAATTGTCGAAAAGAACTCGATATGACAAGAAGAGGCAACAGACGCATGGAAAGTATCATACAACTAGGGTCTCCCGGTGATAAGGGTCTTACCTGGGAACAAGGACCTTGATGGTTTTATGATACCGTAAGAAGTACATGTAACACACAAAATCGCCAAAACAGCATGCGACGTCAAAGGCAGTCAATCAATGCATTCCAAGGAAGAGAAATGCATCACCAAAGCACTTGGTCACCAAAGGACTGAACAAAGAACGAGCGACAAGCCGAACTCCAAGAAAAACCAAGAAGGCTTATCATTTATCAAGCAAGGCAAAGACAAAGTTGGCTTATAACCAACCACCCGGTGAAGGTGACGAGGTTGCTAATTGGAAACCGGACCCGACCTACTGAGCAAAAAGAACATGCGAGAGTCTTGACTCATCTATAAACTCGTACCTAAGGATCAATAAAACTATACGATGGGCCACCCTATGTATTCAAGTCCCTTCTATTGTGCACATGGACATGGGGCTTGTCGGGACTTGAATCTGTTCATTCTTGGGATTTTCCCCGAAGGAATTCACTCTTCCTAGTCACCTTCCCGCGGGTCCTCAACGGGACCTTGACGGGACCTTGACGAGTCCCCAACAGGAGCTTGGCAGGCGGACGACCGCCCACCTCGCGCCCACTGGTACAATGTGCTGATTTCTTAACCCCTCACTTTATTGATTCATGGCGCACTTGTGTGCCTCGATTGATGAACGCGAGTCTTGGGTAAAGAACCATGGGTCGCCCAAACATGGTGTCATCGGTTAAAGACCTTGACACGCAACACACCATCGGAAAAGCACAACCAATTGCATTACACGTGGGGTTGAAGTTGGACTCTACGATGCAACCGACTAGGGATGATTGGCATAAAGGATTGTGCAAACCAAGGAGGCGAGTTGGGAACTCGTGCTAAGGACTCACAAAGACCTTAAAAGTCAAAATGCTAAGGATGGACCAGGACTCCTTCAAACCATGGATATCGTTCAAGCAAATCAGAGGACTCCTTACAAGTTGTATGGAATCAAGAACTACGTAGTCCATGGTGCTAGGCAAAAAGTAAAAAGGCACATTTATGCCAAGATCTCAAGGGTCATTAAGGACCCATAAGGAAATGAGATGACTCGTAAAGTCACCGAGTCATTCCACAACGAGGTTAGGTAACCAACTGCGCTTCAAAAAGAAAAAGAGCATGCAAGGACACCCTCACCATTAAAAGTAACACAAAAAGGCACAACTAGTCGAACCTCGGGGAAGACATGAAGTCTTACTAAGAATTTCATTCACTAAAGAGGAGATGAAATTCAATAAGAAGGGAAAATCAACCCAAGGTTTACCGACTCCCAAGAAACTTTGGGAAGAATTTGGGAAGTGCGCCCTAAGATATTGGCTTGGTTGACCAAACATGGTCAAGACCTTGGACGCATTAAAGAAGTAAGTGTTAAATCATCACGGGAGATTCCCTCAAGATGGGGAGAAGGATGAAACCTTAGCCTGGGAAGCAAGGTCTAACAAGGATCTTAAAGTCAAGCAAGTGCCAACACCAAGGAAGAAGGATCATCAGTTCGTTAATACATCATGATCAAAGCATCAAACCAGAATAGTCACTTGAAGATCGAGAACCCTTAACCCATCCTAGCCGAATTCCCTTCCCTCCCTCGGAAAATCGGCCCCCTCCTTATTTCAAAACCCTTTCTACCCTTCAACCACACTCTTGATCCCCTATTTTAACGATTCCATACAAGGTGGCAACCTCCCACCCTAAGTTGCAACCTTGGCAACTTTGATCCTAATTCCTAAATTCACTTTGTCCTCAGGTTTGAAACCCACTCTCTTAGCCCTTTAAACCTAATCGTTCCCAAAAACCCAGCACACATAAACATACAATTATACAGTTTCCCCGTAGAATGCTTTCGCTATAGGATCACCGTACTACTTTGGACTCGTTACCCCCGCAATGATTTCCAAGCTTCGGGGATGAAGCTTCTCGTAAGGGGGGGAGAGTGTAACACCCCGTGTTATGGCCTTCAATCCCAGATTAATTATTTAATTAATCCCGTTAATAATAATTAAATATGATTTAATTCGGTTAGGTTTCCTTTAATTAATTAATAAGGTCCACCATGAACTGTGGACCCTTGCCTAAATTAGAGTCTTAAGCCTATTAGGAATAAAGAAAGTAAACCCTTTACTATTCAGATTCTAATTAGGAATCCTGGACCTAGTTATCTATTAGGAATAAAGGAAGTATGCCTTTTACTATTCAGACTACGATTAGGATTCCCTTTAATTAATTAATATGGTCCACTATGGACCATGGACCCTTATCCCTAAACCCAATCCTTAGTCCCAAAAGGAATAGAATTAGCAAGCCCATAATATTAGTTCCTAACTAGGACTCCTAAATATATAAATAGGGGACTTAAGAGGCACCTAGAACCCCCCACCACAATAACGTTTCACCCTCCCAAAGAGCTCCAAGAATTCCCTTAGAAGAAATCAAGAAAGCAAGAAAGCTTAAAGAAAGACCCTTCATAGCCAATGAATTAATTAAGGCTAAGAGGTAACCCATGTCTCAACAAAACCTATTTTCATAGTTATGATTTCCCCTGTAGGTTTTCCCCATATTATTGTGTATTGATGATTTGTGATGTTATTATTGATGATTGATGGGATAATTCCATGGGTGATCTTGACATCGGGAGATTCTTGATAACTATGGTGTTCTTAACGATTATGTGGAGTTCTTGATGATTATATGGTGTTCTTGATAATTGTATGGCGTTCTTAATGCTTAAGTGTTATTTATCTTGTAATTAGAAGACGAACCGTATTCTTGTGGATATAAAAGTAATTAGAACCCTAGGTTGATGTTCTTGATGCTTATGTGATATTCTTACCGAATCTTGTAATTAGAAGACGAGTCGTATTCTTGTTGGATTAAAAATAATTAGAACCCTAGGTTATATCGTGGAATTCGTATGGTATTGTTCTTGGTGTATTGGGTGGGATTTCGCATGATTGGGTGTTTATTAGGTCTAGAAAAGCGTGATAAGTTATGTACCGTTTGATTCTTGATTTTGATCCGTTAAATCATCTACGTGTGTTATCAATTGCGTTTGAAAGTGTCTAAGCATGGTCTCGGGTTCCATGAAGGTTCCCGGGGCGTTTTTGGTGTTAATGATTCAGTGGGGGGTAGGTGGGGGTAGGGGACCCGCCACCTACCCGCGGTCAAAAAGGGGCAGTTCCGGCAGCGGGCACGGCGACCCGCTGCCCGGAACAGTGTTTACCGGTGGGCAGCCGGCGGGTGGCCCCCCACCCACCGGCTACCCGCTGGAAATTCCCACACTTGGGACCCCGACTTCCCCGTTTGATGTTTCCCCGACCCCCGTGGTGTTCCAACGGACTCCGTCTATCGTGCCTATGTCTAGTTTGATGTTTCTGGTACCGTTCGTAGGTTGTATGAGTCTTATATGTTGCATGCTAGTTGAATTGGTATCCCGCTGACCTAGGTGAAAGGAGTATGAACCCCTTAGGACCATTCTTAGTATGTGAAGGATCACGCATAGGTTTTGTTATACGTTTTCTCCCCCTTCCCAATGTGTTAATGTGGGTTGCATGTGCTTGCTGTGTGTTATGTGTGCATGTTACCCCGACTTGGTTGAGATCAATCGGGCTATACGGGCAGTCGGGTGGGCTGAGAACCATACCGGCTGTTAACCAGGCTGGTAGAGACCGGTCAGGTATATAAATATTATATAGGACTAAGATCCACTATACGGGCAGTTGAATGGGTTGAGAACCATCCCAACTGTTAACCAGGCTGGTAGAGACCGGTCAGGTATATAAATATTATATAGGACAAAGGTCCACTATACGGGCAGTTGAATGGGTTGAGAACCATCCCAACTGTTAACCAGGCTGGTAAAGACCGGTCAGGTATATAAATATTATATAGAGCTGCGGCTCATCGGTCGGTTGCGATCGACCCCTCCGTGCTGTGAGACGGGGAAGGGTGCTGCGGGGCCGTGTCAGAGCTATATGCGCTGACCCTCATGTATGGGCATGCGATTGGTCCTGTGGCGCCAACAAAGTGTGCTATGTGATGAAGTACGGATGATTTGTTGTTATGAGTATCTTGGGGATGAGACTATGAGATTTGTACCGGGGATCGTATATGTTGGGTTATGATTATTAATTGTGCTTATCTTATCTGTCTTGCCTATTGTAAACTGTATATGCTTGGTATAACTGCTGTCTGTGCTAGCCCTATCTGTTGAGTCTATCCCTGTTTCAAAAGCTAGAGTTCGTAGGAGATATCTTCATGTTCAAAATGACTTTTCGTATATCTATATATATATCTATATGTATTGTATCTCAACGCGTTGGAGTGGGTTACCAGCATCTCTCGCTGAACAGATATATTTGGCTTTCAGGCACAGAAGAATAAGTCACTGGAGCGCGCTAGAACTTGGAGCGTAGAAGTAGATAGTTTCCCTTTCGGCCTGCGTGCCATGCTTATGCATTTACGTTATTGAGGATATTAGTTAGTTAGCCTGTGCACCTGAGTTCTCTAGCTCAGGTGTGGCATAGCACCCCGTACTCTTGTATTATGCTTTGGGATTTAATGAGATTTCACCTTTATCCTACAAGTTTTAAATGTCTCGAAAATCTGGGTTGTTACATGCAAGTTTCAAAGTAATGGGAAAAACTTCTCAAGCAACACCACCACTATCTACTCTAATCCTAAGCCACGAGCAAACTAAACTCAAACGAGGCAAAGCAACTAACAAACCACTTAAACAACAAGCTAACAACCAAAGCAAACAAGAGAGCACCACTAAACGCACAACTAAACAAGCAACAACCACCAAGGTTACAACCAAAACAAACAAGGAAGGAAACGAGCTTACCACAACTCTAGCCTAGGAGGAATCATCCTCCGAATCCTCGGCATCCTCATCAAAAGCTTCTTCGGCTCTACCTCGGCTAGAACTAGCTTCCAGCACATCCAGCCTTTGATTCAGAGTGACCAGCTGAGCCTTCATGAAGGAAAAACCCTCTTCAATCATCCGATTTTGTTGACGGAGAAGGCCACCACACGCTCTTCGTGGGTCATGGCATAATGCTCTTTCTTCGTCCGCACCTCTTTCCTTCTTAAGCTCTCCTCACTCTCGGGGTCACTTTTCTCAGCTTCCTCATCTTCTTCTTCTTCTCCCTCTTCTTCTTCTTCATCTTCAGCATCCCCTCCCAAACTCCGCACCACCTGATTCAACTTCCCAACGGGAATCTCGAGCTGCTCAACCAAGGAACTCCTCTCGGCAGGGGGTTTCTTTGCGACTTCCTCCAGGGTGATGTATTCCTCATTTTCCAACTGAAACAGATTACAGCTCCGAAGGTTCACGACATCAAAACCATACCATAGGGCAGGCTTTTACGGTTATGGTTCGTATAGTAGTCCATGTGTTACAACATCAAGGAGAACAGGTTGAACTTCACTTTGTAATTCAGGCGAAAGGCAAAGCTGCATTCCTACTTTCCCAACAAGCTACTTTTATTGTTGTTAGGAAACAAGCAATCCGAAACGAGCATTACCAAAATCTTTTGTTCAGCAGAAAGCCATTTCCTCTCTGGCCTCGTGGCTTGAGTAAAACCACTTGTCCTTCCCAACAAAAAGCTCAAATAATTTTGATAACTCATACTACTCGTCTCAATCCAAAAATCACCATTGTACTGTGAGACCCCAATGGTCATCAAACTCAAGAGTTGAGCCAACCGTTTCTCGGTCAAGGAAATTTTCATACCTCCCACCTTTGAGGTGATTTCCAACTTTCCCCCATCCTTTGTCACACTCATGTGACGATAGAAATCTTTCACCAAACTCGGGTAGGTCTCGGTTCTAATCGCGAGATACCCATCTTACAACCCTTGATAGTTCAACAATTCCAACTAGAACTTGAAAAAGATTCGGGGTCAAAAGCTTTACCTTCCAAAACCAAGTAATGGCATCCACCCATTCCACTCTTTTCGCGGTTTTTGACCTTCTAGGCATTATATGAGATGTTCCAAGATGAAGTAGACCCAAAGCTTCTCCCTTATCTTCTTTTCTTCCCTTTTCTTTTTCTTCCCCTTTTCTTCTTCTTTTCTTCTCGGCCTACGGCGATTCCGGCGACGGCTGACGACAGCTGGCGCGGTGGCGACGAGCTCCGGCGACTTCGGACGGTGACGGGCAGAGGGCGACGGTCGGTGGGGGGGCTCTCGGTTGATGCTGGGCACGGGTGGGAGAGAAAGAAAGAGATGGAAGGGTTTGGGGGAAAATTGGGAAAAAGAGGATTTTAATTTGGGGATTTTGGGTAGGCTTAGAGAAAGAGATTAAAAGGAATTTAAGTGGGAAAAGGTTTAAGAAACACAATTGGTTTAGATAATTAAAGAGATGGCTTAGAAACTTTGGAACTTGAGTTCAAAACCCACTAGTTACAAATTACAAATTAAACTTTTCCTAAGCTTTTTAAGCTTAACTACTAAAGGGGTTCCTAAAAATTAGCCCTTCTAAGCTTTAGGTGACATAAAAGGGTGAGGTCCTAATTAATTAATTATATATATATATATATATATATA